TGAAGTGCACAGCAAACCCCATCACCACCCTTACAAGTCCCACTGACATCACTTCCTGTTTACCTGAAGTGTACAAGTCCCACTGACATCACTTCCTGTTTACCTGAAGTACACAGCAAACCTCATCACTGCCCTGACAAGTCCCACTGACATCACTTCCTGTTTGCAAGAGGTACTCCTGCCAAGACCTTCCTGTTTACCTGAAGTACACAACAAATCTCAACACCACCATGACAAGTCCCACTGACATCATTTCCTGTTTACCTGAAGTACACAACAAGCGCTAGCATACACTCAAATAATGTGACAGTAAAAACTCAAAGCGCACAGAAAACCAGCAGTTCCATCCATCTATCCATCCATTATCTTTCTTCCATTTTGGATCACGGGGGTCTGGTGCCCATGTCCAGCAATCACTGTGTGAGGGGTGGGGTACACCCTGGATAGGTCTCCAGTCCATCACAGGGACACATAGAGACAAACAACCATTCACTCTCTCACTCACACCTAGGGACAATTTAGAGTTACCAATCAGCCTAACATGCATGTTTTTGGTCTGTGGGAAGAAACTGGAGTACCTGGAGAAAACCCACGCATGCACGGAGAGAACATGCAAACTCCACCCAGAAAGGCCCCCGGACCGTGATTTGTATCGCGGACCTTCGTGCTGAGAGGCAGCAGCTCTACCAGTTGCGCCACCATGCTGCCAAAACCAGCAGTTCATAAATGAAAATAAAAACTTAAGCTATGACGGCAGTACATAAACACAAGTGTTTGTTTTTAACCCTCCTGCTGCCCTTGGGTCAAAAATCATCCACATATTCAGGGTAACAGGAGGGCCGGCCATCAGATGGTTTCACTGCCCCCTAGTGGCCTCAGAGTTGTTGTCTCAATCAAAGATTCTTGTTGTGTTTTAGGAGTATAGTGATGCCAGGAGTGTGTTGGTTCGAGTCCAGGCCTCTCTGAAGTTGAAGACCAGCAGGTCCACCATCAAAATGATGTCTGCCCCCTCAGAAGTAATAACCTGCAGCTCAGACCACAGCCTGTGCACTTTTTGTGTTTTTTTCTGAGCCTCCACAACCTGTCTGCAGATAGAGGTCTACATTTACCCAGACTCTGCCCTCCAGATGAATTCTAGAATCCCCTTGTGGATCATTGTGGTGTCAGTCCTGGCCGGTTTTCTGCTTCTGGCTCTGATCTGCCTGCTGCTCTGGAAGGTAAGCTGAGCTGTAACACCAGAACCAGGTGGGTCAGCATGAACCTGGTTTCAGGATCCACCACAGATCACAGTCCATCATCATTCTATTGCTCCTTCTGATTGGTAAAATATTGTCGTTCCTGCTGTTCAGTGTGGCTTTTTCAAGAGAGCCAGCACCAGGGAGATGTACGAAGCCAAGACCCAAAGAGCCCAGAAGAAGAGCCAGCCGTCTGAGAGCAGCAAGCTGACTGAGGAGCTCTGAGGCTGGGCCCCCAGTGTAAGGGCCATTAACTGACTGATACAGACAGGTCACAGAGTGGCGAAGACTGGTCTCTTAGTGGTAAAGACTGGTCACTGAGTGGTAAAGACTGGTCACTGAGTGGGAAAGACAGGCAACTGAGTGGTAAAGACAGGTAACTGAGTGGTAAAGACAGGTAACTGAGTGGTAAAGACAGGTCCCTGAGTGGTAAAGACTGGTCCCTGAGTGGTAAAGACAGGTCCCTGAGTGGTAAAGACTGGTCCCTGAG